CATGTATTGAAGCCTAGGTGTACATTGCAGTGGTGGGGGTTGACTGGATCATGAGGCCTCCAGCCTAAGAATGGATTAATTCACTTACGGGTCCAAAGTGTGTTGGGCTCTGGGGAAGTGAAGGAAACTTTGGGAGAAGTGGGTCATTGAAGGCATGCCCCTGGTTGACACTTCTTCCCTCATTTTCCTTCCAGTCATCATGAGGTAAGCATCTTTGCTCCCCAAACACCCCACCACAATGTTCTGCCTCATCATAGGCCCAGAGACAAGAAGAAGGGAGGGAAGGAGTGAGGGAAAGAGAGAGAGAGAGAGAGGTTTAACTGCACTGGAGCACGGCAGTGATCAGGGAAGACTTCTTGGAGGAGGTTGAATATAAGCCATTTCCTGAAGCATCTCTTAGCAAGAGGTTCCCTCTGCCACACCACTACCAAAGACAAAACAGGCCAGCTGGGGAAAAAGTATGCCAGCCAAAGGTAAAGGCAAGAAAATAGGAGAGATTCCAATGAGTCCCAGTAGTTCAGTAATGCTGGAGTATGTATGCATCCATGGAAAGGGAAGGGACCAGTGGCTGAAACTTAAAGCAAACTAAGCAAAGAAATTGCTCAAAACGCTCAAGAAAAGATAATGCAAATTTTCCAGTTCAGATTACTAACTAACTTTATTATACCCATATAAGTCAATGGGTCAATTCAACTTGCAGGGAGAAAGAGAAATAACTAACATTATGCAATTCCCACTTGCCAGAAACTACTCTGAGTACTTCACATGTGTCATTTCATTTAATTGTAGCAACAGTCCTAAGAGGTGGGGATTTGTGAGTGTATGTGAGGAAACTAAGGCAAATAGAAGTGAGTTTCCTGAGAATCCACATTAACAAAGCAGCAGTCTAACCACGGAGATGGGGGCCTTCATTACTTTGGTGTCCCTGGAGTTGAAATTGGTGAGTTGGTGAGGTCTGGAGCAGATGGTCTGATGAGGAAGAGAAGGAAATAGGAGAGAAGAAGAGAGAAAGAGCAAGAGCTTGAGTGAGTCAGTGAGAGAGAAAGAGACAGAAATTCAAGGGTGAGAGTCAAGAGGAAAGAAAGAGATACCGCCAAAATTCCAAGAGGGAGGCCTTCTGAGATGAGGTCTCTGGAAGGAGGCTCCACCCACAAGGAGACCCTTTGTTTAAAGCCAAAGGAAAGTGGACCAAGCCCAGGATTCTCAGGGGTGGAGCCCAAGGGTGCCAGGCAAGTAAGGGAGGAAGGTGCTGATTAATCAATAAGCATGGACTGAAGTAAGAGTGTGCTTTCCGCCTCCACCACCCACAGCAAGAAATGAGACCAAAGAGCTCCAGGCAGGAAGAGCTCTCAAGGGCAGCTGAGGCAGAGCCCTGATTTTTATAGCTGATGCAGCTGGTGAAAGTCACATGATTTGTCCAGAGGCACCCAAAGTCAGTGTGAGCTTTTTCTCACTTTGCCTAAAATTGATCAGCTAGTAAGGGAAAAGACAGTACTAAAATCCAAGGACTCCTGATCACCTGCAATCCAAACAGGTCCCTTTCCCGTTCTTTCCTACAGGATTAACTGCTCAGCCATGATCTGGAGGCTAGAAGACTAGGACACTCAACAGAAGAACTACTCATCCAAAGGATAGGAGTTGAAGGGCAGGAAGGAAGGGACTTAGAAGGCTTTGCCCGGGTAGTAAATCTTTTGGTTGAGGTCTTGAAGACATGCATGTACAGGTTACTCTCATGACATACAAGATGAACCTCAATCCTTTCTCACTGTGTCTTGAATAATCTGGCTGCCATTGACTAAGAGGAAAAGAGACTTCCGGAAAAATGAAGGGAGAAAGGCTGGAAACCAGAAGAGAATGTTCTGTAAAGTTTACCAGGGTGTCCTGAAAAGGTTCTGTGTTCTACATTCTGCACTCATACTCTGAAGTGTGGTCTAGTGTTGCCTTGCTTGCTATCAAAATTTTGCTGGCAGACAATTGCTTTGTCTCACTATTCCAGGCCTACCTTGTGCTTATCACTGGAGTATCCTGGACTATCACATAAGCCAGCAACTAGAGTTTGCTGTTCTGGCTGTGTGGTGGTGGGGTCTTTTGGAATCTCCATAGTAAGTTCTGATTGATCAGTAGTTGTCCAAATGCTATTTTTAAATGTGTTGAATACCATGCCTGCCTACAAAACACTCCACAGTTCAGTTTGACTACACTGTATGAAATTGATGCTATAATTACTATGTAGACTTTCCATCAACCCAGTGAAAATATCTATTAAGAAGTGATAAGGGCCAAGCCTCATTCCAAGCACAGAAAAGTAACAGAATAAAATCTGGAGGGGATCTATGCAGGGTTCCTAGCTTCCAGTTCTGTGGGGGAAGTGCTATGTTCAACTCCATACTGTTATCAAATAAGGAGCCCTACCAGAGACTGCTGTAGTTACTAAGGGTTCTTGGGGTGGTGCAGTCCTTCTGCGGAACTTGTAAGAAGGTGGAGGCATTTTCTATTGTGCTAATTGGAGGTTGCTGCTGGCTTTTAGGGGGACTACAATGGGCAGTCTCAAGAAAAGAGGAATCATCCTCCTCAAGATGGTAATCAAACCCCGATTTAGCAGAATATAAGCCACTGACCTTAAACTCTTAGCAGACTAAGCATTCACAATGTTAAAATACCACTTGCCTGAGTTTTGTATGATGCTTGCCATTCATCAGGTGGACAGAATCCATGGGAGTGGGGGATTCTAAGAATCTAAGAGGCAGAGGGGAATTTAAGGGGGAGGGAGTTCTGCTTTATAGAATCTTATTTTGCAATTGTGGCTTTGCATTTAATCAATGCTCCTCTCCCTTTAGTCAGGCAGAGTCAGATGCTATATTCTGAATCCCTGCAAGACCCTTCAACATGCCAAATGTGTTTACTGTACCCTATACAGTAGTATAATGGTAGCTGAAAACTAGATCATGAATAATGAACTTCAGCCCCGTACAATAATGAGTTAAATCCTTTGCTTGATCCTGTTTTTTGTTATTTTTTTAATGCGAAATGTACCTCCTAATCCTTGTGGTTTCATTCCTTACCAGCCAGAAACTATTGTCTGAACCCAAACACTCCTCTCTTAAGCTGTCTTTACAGTCCCTCTATTTCAAAAGATAGCAGAAACAGGAGTATTATTTTCACCCTTAGCATTCCCCTAAAGAGAAGCAAAAGATCACTTGTCCCTGACCACAGAGCTGGGAGCTGGCAAAGTAAATTCTAGAAAAGAAATAAACCATCCAGAATGCTAATCCATCATTCAGCAAAAACTATAAAATACTTTCCCAGCATTAATCCAGATTCCCACAGCACAACTGGGGGAGATGTAATAGCTTAAATATTGCAGACAGAGAGTAGACAGGAATTGAATATCTGTTGAGTGGAAAAATAAGATGATGAAAGAATATACATTATGTGGGCAAAGACTGGATGCAGCTTTCAAGTCACCAGGAGGGCAGGAAACCTAAAACTCTGCCATGTCTCTTGCTAAGGGTTGAATAGCTTTTTATTGATTTATAATAGCAACCATAGCTAAACATTACTACAATTTTCTTCTGTGAAAGTTCATGGATCATTTAATCTTCACAGAAACACTAAGCAATATCATTAACCCCACTGTATACATTAGGAAAGTGAACTGATGATAAGTTAAGCTACATGTCCAAGATTACACTGCTAGGGAAGGAATGGATTTCCAATCCTGATCTTTTGGCCACTTTTTCCTCTGGGAAGGGAGGAAGAAGACTTCCTGATTGATATTCCAGTAGTTGGAGCCCATAGAATTTCCATGTGTCTCACTGCGCCATTTTTAGAGGCTGTCCCCAAGAAATAGGAGTTGATATCATTGCTTCTGAGTCCTGAAACATCACCACCAAAGACTTAAAAAGCACTGTGCCAGACATGGGGACAGAAATTCACTAGATAAAGCATGCATAGAGTTTGGAAGATCTACAGCGGTAGGAACCCAACAGGCCTGAGGAAGAGAGTGAGACCAGAGCGGGGTCCCCTAAGAATATGGTCTTTGATAGCCCCAAAAGGAGAATGGGTTTTGGAGAAGAGAGGCACATAGGGAAGAACATTCCAGACACAGGGAATAGCATGTTCCAAAGCACAGCCTCCAACACCACCACTTCCTGTTAAATGAAAGAAGAGAAACGAGTCACCTTAAAAGACGAATTTTATCCATGCCATCTGCTAAGACCCAGGAGGCAGGTCTCCACATACTGGGAGTAACCAGCCCAAGCCCCAAACCAAATATCTGGGGGAATTTGGAAGAAGGCACGTCCAGCGGGGCAGGAAACAGCCCGAGGGTGGCCACCATGATGAGGAGCGCAGCCCCTGCCAGGAACCCAAGGGGGCAGAGTGGGTGTGCACAGGTGCTCAAATCAAAAGAGGCTGCTCCTCTGCCCTTTGAATTTCAGGGATTATTCAATAGAAGCCTAAGCGTCTCTCTAGAGGTTCAGCTTTCACGGGATCCTTTAATCGCTCCAAACTGGCGCTGCATTCCAATTTATTTATTCACACAAATTCTAGAGTTTCTCACACAACAGATCCTCTGGAGTCTCCAGGCAAACCCGGAGCTCTGCTCAAGATGAGTCGCTCAGAAGCTCCAAGGGCTTCCCCTGGGTTGGGCCAGGCCTGTCCTTGGTCAGGGATGGTTACCCTGAGCCAGGGCAGCCGGGAAACCAGGGGTCACTGAGACAGAGGGCGGAAGCATCAGCTGAGGCTGCCTGGAGCGTGGAAGGGCTAGCGTTTCGTTGTGCGGAAGAGGATTAGCAATGTCCTTCTTTCCATATAGCACTGAAGAGCTTCACAGAATAGGTTTGTAAACACCGGGCTGCCAAGATTACTCCCACCGTTTTAGTCGTGACTCTTCCCATACAGGTTATGGCGAGCCAACCCAAACTAGCTTTCGCAATGGAAACAGGGATCTGGTGACTCATCTAACTGAAAAACTCTAAGAGGAATTCAGTCATGGTTACCTGAAGGGTCTTAATCAACAGGACTTGGTCTTTCTGCGTGGTTCACTTCTGCTTCTTCCAACACATCATGCATCCTCAGAGGCTATATACCTTCCCAGCTTCAAATTCAGGAGAAGGGGGAGCTCTTTTCAGTTGCTCCAAGAAGGATTCCCAGGACAAGGTCTGCATCTCGATGGAGTCTAGTGACTACATTCCAAGACGAATGTGGCATAATGTCACATAGTGTCACCTCCGTCATGGTCATGATCCTACCTAGGCTCAGAGGGAGAAAAAATAGACGCCGGTGCTCCACGCGAGACGTGTCGATGCTGTATTACAAGAGCATGCGAGGTTGACTTACTATTGCATCATGTCTGGGAAACATAACCTGCAAGTGTCTGATGGGCACCTTCAAGTTGAGGAAGAGCTATTCCGCAACACTGCTTATTGATTCTTCGCCTCCAAAAAGTTCCTGATACTGTATGTGCAATGAGCAAAGATGCGAAGTGTGCACCACTCATCTCACGCATGTGACCCCTGTGTGCAAACAGCAAATAAAAGCACGGTGTATTTTCCAAGTAATGTTCCTCTTCACTCATCTGGTCACCCAGGAAACATTTAAAGGTCATCAAATGAATGGACATGGCACGGTCCTAGGTGGTAGAAATAGAGTGTTCAACAAGAAGATACACGGCTTTGTGGAGCCTCAGCCCACCACGGAAGACAGGTTTTGTGGAGTAAATCCATCTATGAGTGTAATGACTAAAGAAGTAAAGGGGCCATGGAACAGAAAGCAGAGAGCACTGTCCCAGTCCAGAGGCTCAGGGAGAGTCTGAAGGGGGTGGAAGCTATTTGATCTGCTGCAGTGCCAGTCACACACACACACACACACACACACACACACACACACACACACACATTCCTCGCCTCCTTTTCTGGCTTTATTTCTCTTTATAACTCTTTGCTTCATGTATATATTTTATGCACTTATTTTTCTTACTCTCTTTTTGTTTATTTCTTACCAGAGGGAGATCCCAGAGGACAGAAATTAAGTCTGTCTTGTTCACTGCGTATCCCAGCATATACACAAATGCCTGAGACACAATTAGTACCCCATACACTGTCGTTGGATGGATGCTGAGTGTTCCAGGCAGCGGGGTGAGTATATGCAAAGGCCCTGAGAAAAGAAAGAGTGGGAAATTTCAGTAAATGAAAGGGAAAGTTTAGTAAAGCAGGAACACTGAAGGAGAAGGGAGTGAGAGTCTCCTTCAAATAATTTATGTACCAGCTGCTTGAGGGCCTATGATGTGCCGGGCACTATTCTAAATATAAATAGTATCTGTTTTGAGAAATCAACAGAAGGGCAAAAAGCACCAATCATCTTCAATCAGTCGCCAGGACTTCTATGAACATATAGTCAAAACCAATTTGTAAAGACACCATCTAGTTATTTCTATAAAACTGCAAATGCTCAATATGTGTCTGCCGTGGACAGAACTGTGCCGTCCCCCCCCCAAGTCATTTGTTAACTCTCTAACTCCCAGTGAGGTGGTATCTCGACGTGGAACTTGAGATGATTAGGTTTATATGAGGGGGAAGATGGGGTTTCATGATAGAATTAGTGTCCTTATAAGTAGAGACTAGAAAGCATTCTCTGTAGCTACTCGCCCCCCTCCATCCACCTCTGTCACTTTCCTATTCTCAGACATAGCTCCCTTTGTGTATTTGCCTCCTTCCCTCATCCCATATAGTTGGCTTCCTCTGTGCAAACATTAAATGTCCTCAAAAATCGCTAAGATTGTTGCGCTTACTGTTCCTTATCCCAGCAAAAGGGGTATTCTACCTTTCTCAGCATATACACTAATGCCCACTGAGAACTCAGATTGTCCCTGTTTGGCATAAACCCCTCCTGGACACGTCCTTGTGTCTGGGATGCTGGAGAACTCCAAGTGACCAGCCTAGGACAGACCAGCAAAGTGACTGGAGCAAGGTGGAGTGACTTATATAAAGGAAAAAGAACTGACTGTTACCAGAAGAGAAAAGACCTCCACATTACCAGTGGTTACTTGCCCCTGAGCCAACAGACAAGAACCTAAGGGCTGGGTTCATGTCCTCTCTGGGACCAACATGTCTTTGTGCATGAAAGTTTTATGAATTCTTCATCCCCAGGCTCCTCCAATACCCACACCCTACCCCACATTCAAGCTTTAGTCCAAAAGTTTCCCTTCTCTGAGGTTCCCTGTGGAGTCCTCCAAAGCAAAAGTGCTCATCCTGCTCACCATTACTAAGCACTGACTATGTGCCAAGGACAGCGCTAAGCACATGTTTCAATTATCCCATTCCCCCACCTACACAAAACAAGTACTATTGTTGCCTTCTAGGTTAGTTTGCTGGGCTGCTATAATAAAGTGCCATCAACTGGGTAGCCCAAACAATAATGATTTGTTCCCTCACAGTTCGGGCATCTGGAAGTTCAAAAACAAGGCATCAGCCTGATAGATTCCTTCTCAGGCCTGTGAGAGAGAATCTGTTCCACGCCAGAGATTTTGGTAGCGCTAGGCATCCTTGGTTTGAGAATATTCATCTTTTACCATGTCTATATACTGTCTGTCCTCTTTAAGCACATAGCTTTATGTATAAATTTTCCCCATTTTATGAAGACAACTGTCATACGGGGTTAGTACTTAACTCAATGACACTTTAATGACTTCATCTTAACTTGATCATCTGTGAAGGCCATATTCCCAATGAGCTCACACAGACAGATATGGGAGGTTAGACCTTTGACATCTTTTAATGGGACACAATTCAATCTATGATGCCCCTCCTTTTATTTCACACATGAGGAAACTGAGTCTTCCAGAGTTTATGTAATCTGCCAGGGTCACACAGTCATTAAGCAGAGTGTGCTCTTAACAACATCATTCTGTTTCTGTTCTTGGCCTTGTCCAGAAATCTCATCTCTCTTCAGGTCACTCGCTGGGGCACTGCTTATAAGATCCATGTATAATTCCGCATCACACTTCAAGACTATAATAAGCTCCTTACAACCAGAGATTTGTCATACTTATTTCTGCTTTGTCAGTGCACTGAGCAAGGGCTCAATCAATCCCTAGATCTCAGGTGAACAGAGCTCCACACCAAGGTCAAGCAATAACTCACTAATGTTCTTCCCAGATCATTTCATTTCCAAGCCAGAGAAGGCTTATCTTGAAAAGTTAATAGCATTTCCTTTGCCTCTCTGATTTAATTATACATTGTGTCAACAAATATTTAATGAGTCCCTCCTAGGAGTTGAGCACAATGCTAGGCACTGAGGGTAGGGAGATAAATTGGAAAGACTCCATCCTCTACCATCTTGCAGTTTATGACCCAGTGAATTTATGACCCAGTGAATAAGACAGACGAGTAAGTACATCACTGTTATACCATATCTCAGGAGCACTTATTTATCAAGGGAAGACTGTGGGTGTCAGGAGACCACAGAAAAACAATGAGGGTGGGCATTCTAGGAATTACACCACTTCTAAGAAGGTGGAGAAGAGACTTACAAGCCAGGACCATTGTAAAACAACAAACCATGATGTAATGAAAAACACAAGAAGTTCAATCCCCAGTACCAAAAACAAACAAACAAACAAACAAAGAAAAACACAAGCAAACAACCTCCTTCTGCCATTGTAGCAGAGAGTCAAACTGAAACCAGAATGCTTGAGACATCTTGCTGGGCCTTGGTCTAAGCCCAAGAAAACCTTACATGAGTTTCCAATCCAGGTAGACCTTCTGATCACGAGCTGGGTACAGTTGGGCAAATCTCTTACTCTCCAAGTCTTAGTTTCCTCATCTCTGAAATGAGATAATGACCAACTGAACCAGCTGTTACGTGGATTCAGTGGAATAGACATACAAAGCCCATCCTGCAGTCACAGAGGCCCCAGGAATATAAAGCAAACTCTAGACACATGGAACCTAGGTCATGATTCCGACTTTAAGGCTACCTTAGAAAGCTGCTAGAACCTCACTGATCTGCAGTCACGGGATGGATGGCCAAGCACTTAGCACAGTCCTTAATACATAAACACATGTTCTATTATTCCTGTTTATACAGCCCTTTGGTTCTTCCTATAGCCCTCTGTTCTTTTCACTCCTCCTTATCTAAAATCCCTAGACCAGCTATGGTCATTTCTTTGTCTTTTTATCATGGTAAGATACATTTAACATAAAACTTAACATTTCAACCTATTTGAGGTGTACAGCTCAGTGACATTATGTACATTTACAATGTTGTAACACCAGTGGTCCTTGCCTCTGGAACCTTTTCAACTTACCGAAATGAAACTCTGTACCTATCAAAAAATAACCCCCCAGTTTGCCTGCACTGCCCCCCAACTACCAGTCTGCTTCCTGTCTCTGTGAATTTGATATTTAGGTATCCCATGAAAGTGTAATTGTACAATAGTTGTCCTTTTGTGACTTTGCATTATATCTTCACTTATAATATCTTACCTTGGCACAACATATTCAAGGTTTGGCCCTGTTGTATCATGTGTCCAAATTTCGTTTTCTGACTTCATTCATTTCTTTTTAAACTCAAGTCCAATTTTTGCTCCTCCTACCAATTCAGGTCACCCTTCCCACCAAATGGAAATACGGAGACACAGAGAGTAATTGCATACAAAGGAAACACTCTTTTTCCCAATTGCAAAAGTAATGCATATTCTTTTCCATGGGATATTTGGCGACAGTCTCAAATTCCTCTGAAGGCCACTTGGTCCCCCGTAGCTCCTAGAAAGAAGGATGTGCTTCCCACAGCAAATGACTTTGCTAGAGTTTCAACCCATAGGTGGAGCAGGCTGAAGCAACAGCAGTTTCTAGCAACGTTTACTCCAAGCAATACCATTGCATATCCACAAATCTATATTTGCTGTCATCTCTTATTTTTCTCTGGATCCAAAGTAGAAAACACCCTATGCTTTCTTCTCATTTGGCACATAAATAGTTCCTTAATCCTATTCTTTTAAAAAAAATTCTATGGGTTTTGCAAGCACTCCTTCATACCTAATCTCCCTACCTCCTGTCTCCCCAGAGACCCTTGCCAGTCACAGCTGCCCTGGCTGGGCTTCTGGAGACTCATGCTGGACATGCACTGTGCAGAGGTGCCCTGCCCTCCCCTGCTGGCCCCAGAAGTTACCATTGAAGAGAGCATGCAGTGGTGTTTACGGCAGTAGAATAAGGGGAACCATCGGGACCCCAGATGCAAGGAAAGTGGTTAAATCAAGGATGAAACATCCCTAGGCAGGATAGGATGGAACTCATTCAAATCACAGAGAAGACCAGAAGGGCGTGGAAAGATATTCAGAATACTTAATTATGTCAGGTGAAATTTTTATGATTTTTGTTCTTTGGCCTCATCTCCATCTTGTTCAGAGAATACATGTTGATTTGTGTATTAGATACTGCCCAATGATAAATTACCACAAATTCAATGACTTACAACGACAGAAATTTCTCACAGATGTGGAGGCCAGTCCAGCAGTTCAAGACTGGGACACTAGTATGGCCGTGCACCCTCCAGACCCTGGAGGAGATTCTGGTCCTGGCCATTGGTGGGTGGCTGCCAACTTTCCTTGACTTGTGTCTGAACAGCTTCACTCTGCCTCCACACCACAAGCTTCTTCTCCTCACCTTCCCTCACATGCCTGCTTGCCTCCCTCTGCCTCCCTTGCCAGGACACATGACTGCTTCAGAGGCCTGCCCAGGTATCCAAGACACACTCACTCTTCCTTCTCAAGACTTTGCCTTCAACACAGTATTCACTTCCGACTTTATAATGCGATGTTCATAGGCTCTTGGAATTAGGATTTGGTCCTATTTTTTGGAGGGGGGTGCTGCCTTCCAGCCCACGATGCTCTATCATTAACAAAATAAGTCCTGTATTTTCCTCTTAGGTTCTCACAGCTTTGTGCATTATTTTAGCCCCAATCCCAGACCCTGGCTCATGAGAGACGCCATGTAAATATTTACTGGAGGTATGAATGAACTCCTCACAAAGGGAACCATGTTCATGGTGGGAAATTATGGTGCCTTCTTCCCTTTTTATTTGTTTCCTGGTTATTTTTGGTTACTACTGATTTCAGATCCCATTAAAAGATATTTCCTTCTTTTTTTAAAAAAACCCCACACTCAAATGTTTATCCCTGTAAAGCTAGGAAGCTAAAAACTCCCTATGTGCTAATACTATGATACATAATCAATTCAAGGCTCCCTGGCTTGGTCTCTATCTTGAGACTAAGTGAAGTTCTTTCATCCTTCATGCTTTCCTGGGCCAAAACTTTCCTGCAGCCAGCCCCTGCCAAAGCAACATGAAGCTGGAAAGGATCTGTCTCCTCATTTGGCCCTCTCTTGTCTAGCACCCCTTCCTGCTGGGCACTCAAGTGTGAGATACGTTGCCTACTTTCCTACCTGAAACTCCTTTCACCCTCTGCACGACTCAATCCCATTTAATGACACTGAAGCTCTTCAGAGTCTAGCTTAGAAAAGGCAAATAGATGTACCTACGTTCTGCCTTCCAGAGGTGGTGGGGAGAAAGAGAGAGAGACAGAGTCAGAGAGAGGGATTGTTACTGATTACAGCATTCTGTACACACAGCATCAAGATCTTCCTTCTCCACATAGTTCCTCAGGAAGCCATGCCATCGGTCCAATTTGGGATGTTGAGCAGCCCTTTTCCATTCCTCATCCAGCCTATGGTGGAGAATATATACTCATCACCAATGAACACACATGGATAGAACTCCCAATGTACCCGGTGGCTTGCATTCCAGATGTATAAATTCAGAATGCATGTATTCATTCAGAAGTATGTGTGTAGATGTATACATTGAGAAAAGGTATAAAAAAGAGACACAGGTCATGCCAGGCAGCCTGGGGAAGAGATAAAATGTGATGCAGTCTAGGAGGTGAGGAGTTTAGATGTCAGTGGAGACCCAAGAAGACTCCAGGAAAGCTGCTGGAGGGAGTAAAACTAAAGGGGCTCCATGGGGAGCAGAATTGGACTTTAGGGAAAGTATGGTCTAAAGTCAGGGGCACACAGGTGTGCGTGCAATGTCTTCTGAGAATAGAGAGTGTTAGTTGATTTCTCATTACAAAACACACTACCCGACACCCACAAATCAAAGAGGGAAAGGTTTGGGCCAGGGATTTAGCTCAGTGATTCCTCCACCTGCCTCACAAGCTCAAGGTCCCAAGTTTGATCCCCAGCACCAGAAAAAGGGGGGAGGAGGAGCAGGAGGAAAGGTTTATTTTTGCTTCCAGTGTGTAGAGGTCTCAGTCTATAGTCAGCTGGCTCCAAGGCAGGTGTCATGGCAGAGGAAAAGTGCCTTCATGGCATGGCGGCAGGAAACAGAGACAGAGACAGACAGAAGGACCAGAAAGGGGACTCTCCCAGGCCACACCTGCAGTGACCCATCTCCTCTGACCATGCTTTGCCTCCCAACATCACATTTAGCTCTAAATTCATCTCTGGACTAATTCACTGATGAGTATCACACCCCCATGACCTGTCACCTCCCAAAAGTCCCACCTTTGAGTGCGAGAAGCTCTGGAGGACATCTAGCAAAAAACTGCACTAGAGATCAGACCAATTTTCCTAATTCCACTGTCAGTCAGGTCCTTCCTCAAATGTCACCTCCTCAGAGAGGCCCTCCCTGACCAGTCCAGCAAAAAGTCGACTTTGTTTTTCATTATGGCAGTCCAGAATGTGAACTCTGCAAGGGCAGGAACTTGTTGGCTTTGTCCCCCAGCAGTGCTCCCAGCTCCTGGGAGAGGACCTGCTAAGGAAACATTTATGAATGAGTGGAAGGACCTAGGGTTTCCTGCAGATGAATTTGCAAGACCTCAGTACAGAGAACTACGTCGTGGGCTCTAAGGACTTGGCATATTGAGAGGTACTCCCTGAGGCGTTCCCCACCCAACTCCACGAGACACATGAGGTCCCAACAGCATGCTGCACTCAAGTGTGGTTTTGGAACACTAGCTTAAGCAAAGTTTGGCAAGTTCTTCTTTGGAGTTCTTCATTCTTCTGCCTCTACCATATCGCTGAAGATATTGACGTGTTGCCAAGAATTCAACATAAAATTCTTTTTTTTTTTTTTTTTAATACTCACAGGTGTAGACAGTTTGGGAGATAGATCTGAAGAAAATGGGATGCCTTTTAAGATGCTGGAGGGATGGGACATAGAATACTTGCTTAGCATCCATGAAGCTCTGAATCCAATCCCTAGGAAAAGCATAAAAATGCTAGAGAGAAATATTTACAGGTATATGAAGGATGGATGGGTGGGTGGGTGGATGGATGAGTTCAAAGTGGGAAAATACTTGAAGTATGGAGCCCGGTTTGGGCAAAAAAGCTGGAGTCATTTTCTCAATTGTCCTATCATAAATACAATGTGTTAGGTGCTCTCCCAGAAAAAGAAGATACAGCACTGAACAATACTGAGTCCCTCTCACACGGACAGGGCAGCCATATACTCCACTTTGCTCAACCATACAGCCTTCTTGGTTTGCCCTTCTTTTCCTACATTGCTATTAAAAATTGCCATATTCATTTTCAAAATCATCTTGGTCTGAATAACAGCCCCTTGATACATGCACCATATTCAATTTCAAACTTATCTTGATTTAGATAACTCATAGTCACCCAATTTGTGGAGCTTACTTTCTATGGAAGAGATGGGAGGCTAGGCATGAGGCACTTTTGATTACAGTAGACAAAGGGTCCTCTTCAGGGTGGAAATAATCCACAGGTGCACAGATGGACAAGTACATATCTCTTTTGTACATGCTGAATAAAGGCATTTTTGCAGAACATTGCTAGCCCTTCAGGACACTCAGCTTGGAAGGCAGAGCCAGGTTAGACCTCTGCCTCCACTTCCTTATTGTGGGCAAAGATCTGCTATCTGTGTGTGGATTCAGAAATGAAGAAAACTGGGGCCAGGGATTTAGCTCAGCGGTTCTGTGGCCTGCCTTGAAAGTGCAAGGACCAGAGTTCAATCCCCGGTACCAAAAAAAAAAAGAGCCAAACAGAAATGAAGAAAACTGCACAAGGTTGAGTCTGCCCCAGCCATATTGTGCAGTGAAGAGTCTATATAACAATTCGCTGATTCCTACGGCTGATTGATAAGCAAATAAATACATAAGTAGTGTCGAGTAGTGGAAGGTACTGTAAAGACCACTAACGTGAAGTGTGGGCACGGAGAGTAACAGAGACCACCATAGTGCACAGTTCCAAACAGCACCATTTGCCTGGTGATCGATGGAAATGGCGTCCCCTTCGAGCAACGAGGCCGTTCTGACAGGAAGTGCTATTTTAGAGAGGGTGCTGAGGGATGACCTCTCTATGGACAATTTGATATGGACTAATAAAGGAGAGATAAACATGAGAGAAACATCAACGTGGGGTGGGGGAGGGGGGTTGCCACGGCACGGTAGCTGGCTCCATGCAAGAGCTTTGGGAAAAGAACATGAAAGATGACCTCAAGCGTCATACCCTAAAACCAGGAAGAAGACCCACTCAATTCTGTGCGACACACTGGACCTGCAGTGAGTGGGTGGTATAAGGAATTCACTGGCAAAAGAGGCACAGCCTTGTGCCTTGGGGTGACCGCCCGGATCAGGATTTCCGAATGTGTGCCTGGCGGAACCCTCACTGAGTGGTATGCAAATGAGTGTTACTAGAAAAAGCTGCCCAGAGATGAGTGAGAAGTGCTGGGATAAGCAAAGCCAACCAGGTTTCCTCAAGGAAGGCGTCTTGGAGCTCTTCATAAGCAGTCACACTTTGTGAATGCTGCGCAGAGAGCATGGATACATCTCCTCCTAAGCAGTGCCTAAGGAAAATTGCTTTGCTTTGTTTTATTTTGTGTGGGGTTTGGAGGCTATTTCATTTTGTTTGGGTTTTTGCATGGTATCTCAGCTCCTGCTCCCTCCCGAGAAGCTTGGCTCTGCACATGTGCCAAATGGGCCAGAACAGAGAGCACAGGCAGATAAGGGTGGCAAGTAGGCACAGCTGGCAGAGGAAAGGGAGCCACCACAGAGAACCCTGCACAGCCCCAATGAGAGCAGGGGGGCCCCACGAGTCAGAGATCCTGGCTGCCACAGAGCAGACCTGCCCATGGCTGTCCCCAGAGGCCTGGCTTCACCCAAGCTCCAGAGGTAACCTCTGAGTCAGTCCCCCTCAGGGCCAAGTTTAGCCTGTGACTGTCTGGCTAAAGTGGTTGTCTGACCTCCCCAGGCCTCCACTTACCCTTCTATAAAATGGGGATGAGAATATTGCCCTCCCCTCTCCTGGGTGGCACGAGGCTTTGATAATTACTATTTGGCAGGGTGCTGACAAGCTCTGTCTGACACATTTCTCCTTGGCTCCCGGGAACGCTGAGTATCACCTCCCCAGGAACACGGGCCCATCGACAACACATTCAGGTTCTTGGTCTCCGGCTCTCGGCGCCTCTCTCTCATGAAGCTCCTGTCAAAGCAAGATTCTCACCTACCACTCTGCTGACATCTAAGCACTGTGGAGGGCGAAGAGCTAGCTGCTGACTGCCATTCCAGGACCCTGCTGCACCTGGGAGGCTGCTCAGGTCCGGGACACCTGGAGGAAGCATCGCCGCCGCCAGCCTGGAGGCAGCCATGCGGTGTCCATCTCGCTGAGGAGGAGGGGCCCATCCAGCCAGGGCCGTCACGGGGCAGGGCGATGACCACCACGCTGGAGGACCCAAGTCCAGCCCAGCCTGAAGGGACGAATGAGCTGAGGTAGGTCCCGCGTGTGTCGGGTGCTGGGAGAATGGAGGGTGAACGGGGGCAGAGAGGTCCTGGTGCCCTGTGTCCGAGCTGCGCTAGCCTCAGTCCTTCCACCGGTGCAAGGGAGATGTCAGTTCCTGTTTATTACTCAGCCTCCCGCCTAGCACCCGAGGCCACACCGAAAGGACAGGACTACCCCCCAGGAACAAAATAGGCCTTTGTGGGTCCTTTTACTCCTCCAGCCTGACAGTGAGGCTCTCGTCCAGGTAGGGAATGTTGGGGAGTGAGCACAGCTGCACATGGCACACTTGAACTTGGACTGGGGTCCTTTAGGGACAGTTGAGGTGATGCCCGGCCCTGGGTAGAAAGAGGGAAAAGAAGTAGCTCTTTGATCCCTTGCATAACTCTGCGCGCACATCCCTAGGATGGGATTGTAATGTTGAGCTCTCTTATTGGCTGGTATCATTCCTATGCGTTTGGCATTTTACTGGGATTCACTTTGCAGATTTGTGTAGACAGTCATCTGCTTGGCCCAAAAGCATCTGCTTTAGATAGTCGGCTTTGTTTTTACTCCTTGGCTAAATTCAACTATTGCAAAATGTGTAAGACAGAGCTGGGACCCGTGGAGATGTGACTCCGTGTCCACAGGCCTTCTTTTTTTTCATACCAATTTAAAATCATGATCACTTTAATTCCTGCAAAGTGGGGGCACCGGGGAGGAACTAAATTAGAAAATCACGTCTGGGGCCTGTGGAACCCAGTTTCCAGGCTCTGCCTTGTTTAAAAGCTGTCACTGTCTGTGGCCGTAGCGTGTTGCCAGGTAACTTGTGAACGTCAGGGAAGCCACGCAAGGAATCTCCGGCATGTCGTTAACCTCGTTCCAACATGTAATTAGCCCCAAAGGCCTCCTTGCTGCCTCCATTCAGCGTTACATCATAAAGAATCAGGTATTTTACAATTCACAGGACACCATGAAGACTTGAAAGAGTTAATTATGGCTCACTGGAGTCCGTCCCCAGAGCTCAAGACCCAGGAATTAAAGTGTTTATTTTTCAAGTGTCAATCTTCAGGAGAGCATCCAAGACAGCTTCCTCTGTGGAAACTGAGATTGGGCGCTGGTTTGGAAGTAGGTCCACCCAGGTCTTCGTGAGGGGGCCGGAGATGGGAAGTGGACTGAGGTCTGTAATACAGTTTTCAGAGGCCTTGTCATCTGTATAGCTCTGGACAGAAAAGAGAAGCCGGGTGAGCTGGAACCCCACCTACCCTCTTGGTTCCGTGGAGTGAATCTACCAAAAGCTACTTAGCGTCTCTGAGCTGGAGAGACCAGCAGTGTGGCCAAAGTTCAAAGAGAGTTCAGCCCTAATCTGGATGTGACAATCTGAACCAATCTAAGCATGCGGGCTCTGTGGACATTATTATCAGTCACGTATAATTATAGATAAAATAGTTTTATTAATCAGCTTCCCAAGGGAACTGTGTTTATCTGATGGCTCTGTGTATAACGTGTGTGAGGGGGGAGGAATCTGTGCTGTGGGTGGTTGGTCTGTGCGACAGAAGGGACAGGACGTCTCGGGAGAGAGTGTGACAGGTACAGGCAGGAGTGCGGCTGCGAGTTCTGTCGGTGTGCTGGGCAGGCTCTGTGCAGGACGGCCAGAGTGTCCATGGCAGCATGCGCCGCGCGTTGTTGGATTTGTCCTCACCCCTTCCCTTCACCATTCCCCAGTCAGGGGGAAAAAAAAAGATTTTTCTGTGTTTGTAGTTAGCCAGAGGCTGCAGCACTCCCGGTTTGCAAATTTCACCTTCAGATACCCTCTTAAGCCACTAACTGTCAGCCACCCTTTCAAATCTTGGCTCCAGAACTGTCTTGGCTTGTCTTCAGTTTCCATCACCTTAACCCAGTTTGCCAGCTCCAAAAGATCCTGAAAGGGCAAGGTTCCTCCTGAATCTCATTCGGCCTGACCGGAAGTCAGCTCCACTCACCTCCAGGGAGGAGAGGTGAACTCGGTGGGGCCCAGACCCCAGAGCTGTCTCCGCAGGCCTGCAGGTCTGACTTACACACTGGGTTGAGAATCCGCGGAGGGGTGGGGGTTGGGAGACACTCCTCACTTTCTAAAGGGAGGCTGAGGGTCGAACCACTGCCCAGAGGCTGTGGAACAGGTACAGAGGCAGCCTGGTCACCTCTGCCCTTCCCTCCCAGTCTATGCTGTGTCTTAGATGCCTCCAGCCCTTTCAACACATGGCTCAAGTCTGCTGGCTGATTGTGCAACTGGCCACTCGCATTGACTGAACACTTGACCTGAAGTGTCCCCACCCCCACCCCACCAGAAGGCCTTGTGCAAAAGCTGCCTTCTCCCTTGAACTCTGCTGAAAGTGACAACCTTAAAGTCAGAAAAGCCAGGTGGGTTTTTCCTTCCCATAGAGGGAGCTGGCACCCAGGCTGTCACAGACACTGCTAAAGATGAATTCACTAAAGCCCCACCAGAGGCTCATGCATGCAACTGTAAGGGGTGGTGTATGGCAGAGCTGTTGGCAAATCTCCAGCGATCTGCTGGGATCATTCCTGCGCCTCCTAGAGAGTACACTGGAGCTTGTTGGAAAAGTCTGGGTGAAGGGAATGAGTATGTTTATTAAACTGCTCTGTTTAAGCTAATTAAGGACAGTTGGCCAAATATAGTGACTTTCTCTAAGCACTCAGATTCATAAACTTTTGAAGAATTCCAAATAAGAAACTGCCAACAAATGGAAAGATGAATGTCTACTAAGTGCCACGTGTATACACTTGTATTATTAACTGACCTGGGAACCAGCTGATGTTATTCTCATGTTGCTGACTGGGAAACTGAGATTTAGGTTGGTTTTGTAATAATTTTAATATCATTGCAAGAATAATTTATTGAATACTTAGTATGTGCCAGGCACCGGACGAAGTGCTTCTTACACAACATTATCTCATTTCATTGCCGTTAAAGCTCTATGAAGTGATCATTTATTTTCAGATGAAGATACTGATACTAAAGGAGATAAGTAATTGTTTACCAAGTGGCAGAGAGATCTGAACCCGCATCTGTCGGACTCAAAAGCCCAGTGCTCTTTCTAGTACTGACTTTCCCCGAACTCCTTCTCATCTAGCTTTTGCTCTTAGCAATGCCATGGTTTATCTGTTTCATCCATGCGTACCTGGAAATGTTCACCCCAGTCCTACACTGACTGGTTCCTTTGAACCAAAGGGATAGCTGTGGACTCAAAATGACAAACAGAATCCTGCCCATCTTCCTTCACCCATGGAGAAGGTATTCAAACATACTTTTATCAGGCTAGGGGTGCAGCTCAGTGGTAGAGCAATGGGTTCCATCCCCAGAACTGTCAAAAAGGCATAGTTTCCTATGATTGACTCTAGTTTCTCATTCTTTATGGCTGAGTAGTACTCCATTTTATAGAAAAACCACATCTTCTTTAACCATTCCCCAATTGGTGGGCAATTGGGTTGTTTCCAAGTTTTAGCTATTACAAACTGTGCCGCTATAAACATGGTTGCACATATATCACTGTGGTATGGATCTTTTAATTCTTTGGGGAAGATACCCAGCAGGGGAATAGCTGGGTCAAATGGAACCTCTAGTCCTAGTTCTCTGAGGTATCTCCATATTGATTTCTACAGTGGTTGCACCAGTCAGCTCTCCCACCAACAATGGAGAAGGGTTCCTTTCTCCTCACAACCCCGCCAACATTTATTATTGGTTGATTTCTTGACAGCAGCCATTCTTTGTGGGGTGAGGTGGAATCTCAGAGTTGTTTTCATCTGCATCTCTCAAATGACCAGAGATGTTGAACATTTTTTCATATAGTTTCATAAAAAAGAAAGATGAGAGTGAGAGTAAAGTCTAGACTTTGAAGACACCTGTCTTCACAAACTCGAATGGCTCGGTGAGAACTTCAGAAAAATATGAACTCTTTACAGCCATCCTGGGGACAATCAAGTTCTCAAGAGTTTCTGTCTAGGTGTACAAGATCGCAGTACAAATGAGTATGTGTTTCTGTGAGCCTGTGGGTGAAACTAAACAGTTTCCTAATTTTAAGGCTCTTCCATGAGACTTATCAGCATCAGAAATCACTGGATTCATCTCAGGATATAACAACAAACTCTTTAAAAAGGTGATAAATCAGAAAACTTCATAGTAGTTTTGTAAAAAGCACAATGCCTACATTCTTATACCAACCCTTTTTCACAGCAAAGACTAATTTTCCAAATGAGTTCCTGAATGGAACCAATCCTAGGAAAGTTCAGGCCTTTGGGCTTTTTAATGGCAGGTGAAACTGTGAGAGAGAGAGAGAGAGAGAGAGAGAGATCTGTAAAGACATGGTAAAGAACAAAATTTAACTTCAGAGTTGTACAAAGAAGAAAGACAAGCAGCAACCTCTATTAAAAACACAAGTATAACTCTTGGAGAAAATCATTAACCAAGAGCAAGAACAGAGTCAAAGTTTGTGACCCAGTCTCCCCACACATGCTTGTCCCAGAAGAATGACAAAATCTGAGGCATCTTCAATATTGTGATCCCTATTCAGAAGGCTCGTGTGCAGAAAGACACCATGAATCAAAACTTAGCCAGAGCTGCCATGTGGTGACAGATGAGACCACACTAACCCTTAGGAGAAGAAGTGACAGGCCTGGCCATACGCATTCCCTCCCCACTGCACTCTAGGTGCCCCTTGAAGAAAAACATCACCTCTGGTTACCCCAGACACCAGAGAGCACGGCGGTCAGTGCCCTAGGCTCTGTGTCAAGCGATCCTAAAATGAAACCTTGGGTCTGCTACTCTGGGGTATGACCTTGAGCAAATTCTTGAAGTTCTATGAGCCTCAGCTTCCTCGTCTGTAAAATGGGGATAATAACAGCCCCTACTCCTACAGTTGTTGAGCGAGGCACGTAATGAGCATCCATTTTCAACAGGTCATCCGCATCCTGGTCACCCAGTTCAGATACCAAATCCCAGAGGAAGTTTCTTATAATT